TTTTTGTTTTTTTTTTTTTTTTTTTTTTTTTTTGTTCTTTGGTTTCGCATGCGCTGTATTTGAAGCATAGATTCTGGAGACTTATTAGGAGGCTCCCATGTGGCTTGCCTTTCCACACATCAATTTTTTTAATATTATATATATATATATATATATAATATATATATATATATCACAATATATCAATATATATTTTAATATATATATTTACGTTTTGTATGGAGAGAAAACATTTCGGTTTCTGCAGAAGGAGATATTGCAACTTTATGTCGATTTAAGAATTTGTCTCTTTTTTTCTCCATGATTGATAACTATCTTGTGGCTAAATATGGATATAAAGTTTATAATATAATTGTGAAAATGACTTAAATGTCATTAGATTTTTCTTTTTCTTTTTCCTCATGGATATGATAAATTTGTATGAACCGATTTTGTTTTATCTTGTATGGCTATCTTTTTTTCTATTGACATATTTTTGTTTTCTTACATATTAATTTCACTAATCTTGTTTTTTTTTCTTCAAAATCTATAATACGAATTGGTTTAAACATTTTTCATATTTATTAGTCATTTTAGTAATATATTTTCTCTGATAATTAAACATCAATTTTCAATCATTTTTATTACAGAAAGTGGTAAAAGGACAGAAGTAATTGAATATGTTTTTACTCACAGCAAATTCGGAAAAAAAAAAACACATTTACATAATTAGATTACAGAAACCATATAAATTGTAAATTGAGGTGGGTCCAGGTGGGTGATTTGGCTAAAATAAAATATATAAAAAAAATGAATAATTCTGGCAACAACTAAGATCAGAACATAGGGTTTCAACAAAGCTCTGATTGCAAATAAGGGCAAACATAATAATAATAATAATAACAATAATAACAATAATAATCTGTCATGAGTCATGACAGTCCACTGTCCATGTGATTTATTTCCCTATTCTTTCTCTAACATTAACACTACACCTCCCTTATTTATTTTATTATATAGTTCACTGCCTCTTTGTTTATTATTCTCCATCACCTGTACCTGACAGCTAATACTTTTAGTAACCCTAATAAATACAAATGCTGTATAATATATATATGTATATGTATATATAGGCTAATCAGTGCACATGCGTTAAATCTCGAGTGTCGAACCAATATTATACACTCTTAATCATTTGTGATTAATATATAATTAATGAAAATTGTATCCTATATCCCTCCCCTCCTTCAAGAGCCGCAGTGTCATTATGCATATGACAAGTGGCCCCCAATCGTAATTTTGTTGTCCGAGATGCTAATTCCATCGCAACATCTTTTAACTTCATATTTGTTAATCATATTATAATTTCGATTATTTATCTATAATAAATGTGTTGGATTAAAGTGGCTTTAGTAAACGATGCAAGTACCATGGTTAAAGAGTTTTGCATTACGAGAAAGTGAGAAAATTTATTAATAATAATAATAATAATAATAATAAATAGAATAAACTTTTGCAACTATACGTTATGAATATGAGATATTATTATTCACGAAACATAATCTTATTCGTGTTTCAAAATAAAAACAAGTGATACGTTTCTTTGCACTTGAGAAATAAGATCTTTCAACTCCTCGGTGAACGTGTCTTGGAGAATGTTTCGTGATTAGTCCAACTTCTACATCATTATGCTTTGAACATTTGCATATCATATGATTGTTAGACATATATATATATATATAATGGAGAACGAAATAAATATGTTTTTCGCTGTAAGAAAATTTATTGTATTATTATTATTATATTATAGTAGATATCCCTATATGTATATATATGGGATGCCCAATAAGTTGTGGTCTTGGGCTTGTTTGACCCATTTGAAACTTGCAATCTTGGAGAATAATGACATATAAAATCGTCCAAAACTGAAAACAAAAGAAAGGAAAAACCATACATTTGGTGTGTGTAAACCTTAAGAAAAATAGGACATCTGATCTGAAAATGGCCCGGATTCTAAAATTTAGAATCCAAATCACTTTCTAAATTGTTAAATAAATTCCTCAATTTGATCAATTTGTACAAAATATATATACTAAGTCGATGATGTCATCAATCATAAACAGCATCAATTTATGGTGTATTTCCGTGACATAAATTGAGGTATTTATTTAACAATTTGTAAATTGATGCATTTACGTGAGATCATCTTTAGACAGACCTTCCTATAAGAGACGAGACCGCTGTCTGCTGTTACCATTCCCATCTCTTTGCAAAAAAAAAAAAAAAAAAAAAAAACTCAGTTTGAGTTAAAAGTACCCTGGATTCAGATTTTGTTCCATCGCTTGCTTCATAATGGTTCTGTTAAAAAAACAAATTGGTGGGGATTTCCATGGAGAATCTGAGAAAAGCAAACAGAATAGAGACAGTGATGGAACAAAGACAGGTGAATATATATATACCAGCTGCGTACCTGATGAACAACCCCACCAAGTTGAGGGAAACGTCTTCATTCCATCATCTGGAATGAACTATTGGTCTTGGACGTCCAGGAGGCAAAAGTTCAATCTTCAATGGTGCTGACGGGAGGGTAACAAGAAAACATAGCATATCCCTACAAGGGCCGGTCAATGTCGCCAGACAGATTCACCGACGAATACTCCCTATCGGGTAAGAACACACCATAGAGCAAGAAAAATGCCGACAAAACTCTGCTTTTTCATACCTCTTTGCTGGAAGTATCAGGTGTAAGAACAAATCACTGGCATGCCCAGATGATTTGACCAACAAAAGATTAAACTAATCAACGAAAATGCTTCATCCTATTCCTAGTTACTAATGATTCTATGAGAGAGCAAAGGCAGAAATTATCATATCTACAGTGGCTAGTACGGTCTTTTTCAGTATCTATAGGAACCAATATTCCATCTCTGAAAAGGAATACTGGATCAAACCAAGATTTCGGACTCTCAGAGGTATTTGCTTCATCTATGCTCCCTTCGGCAGAGTGGCAGCAACATTCCACAGCAGTGACGACATCGCTTGGTTTGCAAGGGCATGCTTTCCTTTCAGGGCATCCACCATTTTCATATTCAACCTTTGCATCCTCTCTAGTTCCAATGTTCTTCGCGAGCATAAATTTCCTAACTGCTGCAGTAAGCTCCACAGATAGTGAAGCAACCGCATCATGTAAACACTCCGTAGTAACACAATCCCTTCCCAAACCCAATTCCTGAGTGACTAGTTTAAACATCAAATCTTGGAGGAGGGAGAAACAGCGAGAGCAGCAACGATATAAGCACACCAAACTAGTGTCACCTTCAGGACCCGACCTTGCACTTGAAGGCAAGTTGAGATCTTCAACTTGGTTTACATGTTCAGGATTGTTGTTTACAGATTTTAAGCAATTAATTCCATCAGTAGCTTCACAGCACTCTGAAAGCTTAGAATTGCTTGAGTCAGCTGCATTGTGAGAATTTTTCTGGACAAGAGAGTTCGATTTGAGAGTTCCAATAGGATCATACTGGGAATTAGCTTTTCCCTCAGGAGCTGCGGCAATTCCTGTAGTTTCCATGTCACATGACCCGTGATGATTTCCGTTCTGTTCATGGTCAGATGCAGGGCAGTTAAGATCAAGGAGAACAGCTTGCCGACTGGAGCTCACTCCTGATTCTGCAACAGCCTTCCCAAGACTAGTAACCATGTCACCATTTCCGTTATTCAGATTTGAGCCATCAGTACCGTAGGTTGCAAAATTTCCAGCATTTTCGAATCCGTATGGTTCAGGATTTTTTCCAGTATGACCATCGATTGTCTCAACGAGACGCTGCAACTGACGATTATCAGTAGGATTGTTAGACTCTACAGGGGAAACAAAGAGAACACTCTCTGTTGCTGAACATTCTTTTATACCCGTAACTCCACTTGGATCCAAATTACCGATGTTGTTGCTTTGATTTGGATGATCAATGTTCTGAGTACTTCCATTAGAATTTTCTTCTAACCTTTTTGAACAAGGACAGCTACGACAAGATACTCCTTCCTCGGCTTGCTCATTCTGCCCTGATGGATTGCCCACCGCAGGAGGCACTGGATTTGTCAATTCTGTTTGTACAGACTCGAAACTGAAAATGAATGGATTAGTGTTAGATATGTACAGGCTAAACTGAAAACGAATAGAACGGAGAAAAACCCACATGTACCTTCTCATCATATATGCCCAACTATTAATTACATCCTCCAGGTAAGCCACTTGAGACAAAATTCGAACATAACGATTTCTATCTTTCCCAGAATTAACTTTTTCATTTATCCGCCCAACTAAGAGCTCGAACACCTTTCGCACGTCAAAAGAGACTTCCCTCAGTGACTTGTAAGTTCCTCTGTATGCAGACAAGCCAACAGCAATAAGGCCTCGGACAATTCCAGATGATTCTTTGCCTTTAATGTTGCTGGAGACAGAAGCAGTAACAGCCTGTTCAGAGGAGTTAGAAGGACGAATGATACAAGAATTGAATGGCCATCCCCTCCAGGGCCCAGAAGCATCTGCACCTGGTCCTTCCTTAAGCTTTGATGTAACCCAACAAAGCTCAGCAAAATGAGGATATCGCAGAATTTGATATCCAAATGTCGAGACAGCTAACTGCAGGCTTGATTTTTCTTTCACATTTCTGCTGATGGGTAATGGAGACATTCTCATTGAAAAATCATCAGCAAGTTTTGAGTTATGCTCTGTTTCTCCCCCCGTGCTATGACCGGTATCATTCTGATTTGCTGCATCTCTACTGCATTCGACAGAATCCTCCATTCTGCATTCTTTGGCTATATTGTCATGAGTATGAGCTTTTTGATGGATCAAGTGAACAAACAGTTGGATTGCCTGCCTTGACAACTCTGTTGCGGACAAATTAATTGCCATGTCACGGTCAAAATTTTCAACAACTTGCACTGTGAACTGCGGAACAGCCTCAGATGATGTTGGCAGATAACCCTTTGATAGGTCAGTCTTAAAGAACTGTCTTATCTTATCAGGCAGAAAATCGTAGGGAACTCCAGAAGTAGCCTGACAACACACACATAACCTTTAGTCTCACGATTGCGAGTCTGTATTGTCTACTTATGGCTACCAATCATGCATCGTGTTAAATAAGTAAAAGAAGTTTAAAAAAGAATTAATGAACCAAAAAATAACTCAAAAGAATCAAGACGATTTCTGCAGCAGATTCATGCACTAGCTTCTCATTTCTCCTCCTCCAACTCCAACAAAATGATATGAAACACAAAACTCCGCAAAAATAAACTTCTAGACAGCAGACTTATGTCCATGCTAGGATTACTTATATGAAAGTCTTACATGTATCTAAACCCATGGCCAAAGAAAATGTTGTTTCAAGTGGGGACGAGAGTTGCTTCTTTCTACCTATCAGCAGTACTCCTTGGTTAAACAACATGGACTTCTTGAGCATATGATCTATAAACCTTTTGATTCTGTCTTTCACAAACAATATGAAGCAATAGAATATAAGAACATTTTAAAAAACAGGTTTGACGAGAAACTTGAAGAAATCAACTAAATGGCAGTCAAGAAGCCCAGCTACCAACGGCCAGAACAAGGAAAACAAACAAGCAGAACTCTTTCTGAGACCAGGCACTGTCAAAACATATAGGAGAAGAGGATATTGGGAAAGTGAAGAACATGTACGCACCAGTATCATCATTGTCGTAGAAACACGTAATGATTCTACTTGCTCAATAAATGTATTCCAAACACGTGAAACTTGAATAGCGCCCTGCAACTCCATTGTCTTTTCTGTTTCACATTGCAACCCAAGATACTGATCTTGCTTCGGAATATCACAAGAAACAGAAGAATTTCCCTTTCCAGAATCATCCTTATAATCCACCTCTTGACAATCATCCTCTTCTAGTGGGGTTGGTGCTTCTGTAGCCCACAGGTCAATTCTTGGCATAAATAACACACATGATTTCCGGCTAGCACCTTTAACTACAAGAAAACCAAACACACCAGTTAAATATATTATCTACTGAGAATAATAAACAAATTGTATCAAACAACAAATTTTTTTTCATATGCATCAGAAATTCAAGCAAAAGAAACAACATGAAGGCTCTAGTGTACAGCAAAATATCATAATATATAGGAAGACATACTTAATAAGTGTGTTAAGCCCTGAACCAGATCGCCGTTCCCTTCTTGCGAAATTGTGGCCATATCAATCTTGTGTACTTCTACATTTCCAATAAAACAGTGCAAAATACAAGAAGCCAGATGACGTTGACCTGATTTAGGGCCTCCGGAAATAAGCACCTGGAACCCTGACTTGCTTCCGGGTTCAAAAGAGACATTCCCCACAAGCCTAGGATGTGGATAGACTCTGTGTATCATGGATTGTGCAAACTCTGAATCACAGTCACCACCACCAGTAGATCCATCCATATCAAACCCACCGTTCAGTATACCAGCACATGAAAGGTTTCTCGCCATATTTTTTACAACATTTCCCTCCAGAAGAAGGGTTCCAACATGAGCCCACCAGCAACTGTCATCTATTTTTTTGTTTCTCAGAGCAGAAAGGATCACATTTTGGACATCTGCTGCAACTTTTGAGAGGACAGGAGGCAACGAAATGCGTTCTTCAAGATGAAAGGCAACAAGCAAAGAACATAATGGGCGCAATAGAGAAGGAACTAAATAGACTGGAAGTGGAGAAGAAAATATATCAGATGCTGCTATTCCTGCTCCTCTACGTGAACATGGGGGTGGAGAACCAGATAAAGCTTCCAGCCAATCTCTTTCTTCAACCGAGAAGTCCGGAAGAGTAACGCGATTGGCACCAGGAATATTCAACTGAGCAGTAGTCATAAATTCTTGCAAAGGGAAATTCCTCTTTAGTGCAATCATGACGGCTTGCGTGCAGAGTGCTTGTAAATCAGCACCAGCAAAACCGGCAGTTTCTTTAGCAATCCACTTCAGCAAATATCCGGACACGGGCTTTGGCCACTTCTTAGTATGGAGTGAGATGATGGATGCTCTGTCTTCCAATGACGGCAGTGGAAAATAAATCTCCCTATCAAACCTGCCAGGCCTCCTTAATGCTGGGTCAATAGCATCAGGACAATTTGTTGCACCTATGACCACTACTGAACCACGGGATTTTAAGCCATCTAGTAAGGCAAGCAGTGTGGATACAACTGAACTATGAGTTTGATCTTGCTGTCTTGTCCGCCTGGGAGCCAGACCATCTATTTCATCAAAAAATATGATGGATGGTTGGCATTTTTCAGCGACCTGAAATAAGAGTCTAAGCTGGCGCTCAGCATCACCGACATATTTTCCCAGACAGTCTGCCCCTTTGCGGGCAAAGTAAGCAATCCGCTTATCCCCTCGAGCCAAAGAACCAATCAGAGCCCGCACAACAAGAGTTTTTCCAGTTCCAGGATGTCCATGCAAGAGGATGCCTCTTGGAGGTGGGAGTCCAAAATTATCAAAGAATTCTGGATATAATAACGGTAAAATAACAACTTCCTTCATACATTGAATAACAGCCTCAAGCCCAGCAACAGAGTCCCATCCCTCAAATACCTTTCCATTCTCAGAATCTGAGCCTCCTATATACACAGGAGCAACTCTCAATAGATCTCGGTGCAACCTCTTGCTTTCACGTTTCAAAAATTCTTCATCTTCACCGCATTTCTCAAACCACTTTTCCTCTGCTTCCACATCTTTCCGGCGGGCATCATTTGAACGCTTCCTCATTTCCAATCTCATCCTCTTGGCTTTCATCCTCTTCATCCTGACTCGACATTGGCGACCATGAGGTTGAAAAAGATATCTATGGTCCGTGCAAGCAATAAGAAATTTTCGATGATCAAAGATGCAACCATTAGCTCGTGCACAGGGCTGCAATAAAAGGGAAAAAAAGAATTATCACCAGGAAGATATCAGAACATGCATAGCAATTTTTGCAAGTTTCAGATACACATCTCAGAGTAGAGTAGAGAAAGAGAGAAAGGGACTGGAAATGAACCAAGTGATAGGTTCTAGGACATCTGTCAACACGGCAACCAATAGTTGCCCCAGGTCTTCCACACCGAGTGCACTTTAATGACCTTCCTCTACAAAGTGCAGCCCTTACATTTTTTAAGCGTCCTAAACCAGCAAAATAAACCTGCAAACATGAAATATAAAACATTTAGATCTACAAAATGAAGATAATTCTGGAAAAAGTAAAACGATATAGAAAATTATAGTCATACACAAGAAACTCTTACGGATAAACCTAAGAGCATGAAAACACAACAGCAGAGAATCATACACGTTTAGCTCAAGGAGTATAAAGCAGTTAAAAATCTTGGGATCTAATAGGTTCCCATGAGTTTTATATTTTTCACGGTGATTCATCAGACAAAATCAATAGAGAACATGACATGCCAGTTTCAGTTCAAAAGTCTAGAAGAACTGGCTTCCAGTTCCAGCCAATGCATAAGATCCACAGTAAAACAAATCCTATAGATGAAAGAAAGGTCTTAAGAGAGAAAACAGCAAATAATTCATAAAAATACTTGAAACAAAATACATGCAGTCATGCACACATGCATCTGTATGCTAATCTGACCAGCACTAAAGGTGTGTTAGGCTGTTAGCATCACAAATAAGGCAGACATTATTACCTCAGGACTCCAAACAGCACAATGCAGATGAACCCAAGTTCCAGCAATTCCATAACGATCAATTATAGGGCCCAAAAGACGGCCAAGCCAACCAGGATCCTCACCAAAACCATCCCATATGTCATAGTTTGAATCCTCTGAAGTTGAGGACCCACTATCTGCGTCAATGTCACTGTCACCACTATTATGTCTCAACTTCTTTGGCGGTTTGCCATCAGTACCAACTCCACATAAACCACACCGTCTACCTTGTTTGAAACGAGGCTTACGTCTACCTAGTTTGAAACGAGGTTTACCGACTCTCTCTGACGAATTGCGAACTGAATCAACTGCCTTGTTGGCAGCCTCATTCTCAATAGGCAATTCCTTGTGCATGTTCAAATCTTCACCCCTTTTACCATGAGAGTTAATATCATCTCCCATCTTATTGGCAGATCTCTTAGGGGCATGAATGAATCCCTCTTGGTTTTCAGTTTCATATTCTTTATGACAATCCAAAAGCTCATCTTTTTCTTCGTTCTGTTCCCCTTTCTCATTACTTTCCATAAAAACTTCCTGTTGTAGTTCAGGATTTAATATATCTCCTTTTTCATTCTGAACTTTATCAACAAAACTGCTATCCTCCTCTAGCTTACCATTTGATATTCCATTTGTACTTTCACAAGCTTTTACACTCACCTCCTCATTCTGCATATCCTCAAATACAGTGTCTGTCTCGTTTTCCATTCCCTCCATTTTAACCCCACCCTCATTTTCCAAAGCATCCGGTACAGTCTTAGTCTCGGGTCCTGTGTCATCCATAATCTCCTGAAGTTCATATCCTGTCCCTCCTGCACTACCCTCAGTCTCACCTTCACTTCCCTCATCTCTATCTTCAGTCTCATTTTCTGTCCCCTCAGTTCCACTTCCATCCTCGCTCTCAGTCTTCAATTGTTCATCTTCAGCTTCAGTCTCACTCTCTGAAACAGCCGCTCTTGTGGTATTGTTTTCCTTCTTATCCTCCTCCGAGTCCTCTCTAGCTTCACTTTCATCATCTGTGTGCTCCTCAGAATTGCTGAGACTCTCATCTTCAGCACTACTGGTGTCTGACTGTTCTGCACTATCTTCTGAACTTTCGGGTTGTTTCACCTTCACCGGTATTTCTGCTTTCATCGGCTTCCGACCATTACTTGCTCCACTTTTTCTCCCCATTTTTCTTTCCACTGTTTTTCTTCCCACCTCAAAGCCATCTTGTTCATCAAAGAGCTTCCTTTTGCCATTTACCACACTTTTCCGCCTCCCCCTCCCTTTGAAACCACTGTTCATACCCCTTGATCTCAATCTGGATTTCCAAACGCCAGGAGTATCCAAATCACCACTCTCCTCCTTCGCTCCTCTCCCTAAACTACTCTTTGTAATCCTATTGTCATTCTTACCAGCCGACCGCCTTCTCTTTGCAGGAGGCGGAGAAGCATCCAGGATAACTGGTGCCCGCCGCAATCGAGAGCTCCGTCTCAGAAGTTCAGAGTCTACACAAGCAGAACCAGCGCCACCATCTCCGTCCTTGTCTTCTCCATGGTTTCTGTTATACTCCTCTTCACATATTGCAGCGAGCTTTTTACTCCTCTTCCGAGGCGAAGAACTTAAACTACTCTGATATTTTCTCACCCCAGACAATGATCTCATGACGAAATTCAACAACCTTACAAATTCGCATACAGCTGCTGATCAAATGGTTTTCGGAAAACCAGCCTTTCACCGAAGATTCCCTTCCTCTAAACTAGGGTCGGACAAATAGTATCGGGACACTGCGATGGAGACGATCGAGAAAACGCATAACAGAGACTAACCTGAGATTCGTCAGACCGAATTCGCAAAACCCGATGATTCGAACCCCAGAAACCTAATCTTCGAAAAGGGCATGCGCTTCATGAGAAATTAGGGTTTCCAGAATTTCGATCGGCGTTTCCTCTCTCCGAGGTTCTCCGTCTACCCGATGATGATTCCTCTTCAGCAATCTAGCTCGGAGACTTAGGGCAACACAGAGGAAAAAAAACGAGAAAAATCGCAAACACCGCAGTATTGTGAAATTTGAAATCTTCTTCATAATTTTTCGCAAAACTATTTTTTTTTCTTTAATTTTATTTATCACCACGCTCTCCCAAGGCGCGTGAATCTCAGATTCCTTAAGCACTGATATTGAATCGATGACAACCGTTGATCTTACTGGTCAACTTTAGATGGAATACCACAACCAATAAAATTCGAGGGTTTATTTGACTTTTTCCCAAGTGAACGACGGGCGCTTGGGGATGTTCCATATGTTGTGTTCTCCTTTACCTATTTTTAATTTTTTTTTCTCTGTATTTTTTGAGTTTCCTACCAAAAATTGCCGCCAAGGGTTTAAACTTTTTTTTTCCGAATTAAATAAAACAATACATTCTTTGTTAAATACCTGAAATATGTCAGATTCGGACAAAGATGTGAAAGAGAGCGTACGCAAATTTACCATTCGGAGTTTTGGTGAAGAGTTTTGTCTTTAGAAGATGTCTATTAAAAGGGATTGCTAAGATTCAATAAAGGCTTATTAGTGATTTTGATAAATCTATATCTATATGTCTATAAATAATTGGGTTTAAAGAGATGTGGTTCCACCTCATCATCTATGTGGCAAGTTCTTTAATATTTATTGGTTAAATAAAATCTTTATTAAAGTTCACAAACATCCTATATATCATTTTTTTTTTCTCTTCTTCATTAGTGACTACATATATTATTTGCAAAACTTTTATAAACAATTCTCATTTATATTAAATTAATGTTACATTATAATAATTTCCTTTTTAACAAATAAATCTATATCATATATTTTTACTAAGTTTATATCAACAAAAATATACACTAAGATAATTACCAACAAATAACAATTCAAACATTATTATAATGATGTCTAATAATAAAAAGATTATAAAATCTTATTGCTTAATAAGTTAATTGAATTTTATTTCCAATCTCACTTTTATTTTCTTAAAATTATACATTATAATAGAAACTCATAAATTGGGTATTTAAAAAGATAAGAACTGTAATTATATGATAAATTTTATAAAAATAAATAATAAATTTTATGGTGCATTAAAAACAAATAGAATTTATTAATTAAAAATATTAGCCACTAATACTCAAATTTATTTCTTTTCTAATTATTATTATTGTCTTATCATTTATTTATTGGTGTTTAATAAATAAAAAAATAAAACAAAAATAATAAAACAAAAAACGCGTAAGACTCTAGAACTTTATTGGTATTTAATAAGTAAAAGATTAAAAAAATATTAAAGCAAAAACGGATAAGAGCATAGAGCACGATACTCATTAGTCCACTAAAATTACATTTATACTCACGTAACGTAACCCTTACCATGTAGATCGTTTTATTCTTTTTTGTTGCCGACATTAAATTCCAATTAGTGGAGTAATATATTAATATAAATAACGTACAATTTGAATAAAAAATTAAAATAAATAACATGCCAAAAAATTTCAATCGGAAAGGTTAGACTTATAAATACTTTCTAACTTTTTAATTCCAGTATTAAAATATTTGTTTTTTTATTTTGAAAATAGTATTAAAATATTTGTTGTTTTAGATTGTTTCACATTTTTTAAGAAAATGGATCAAAAATCACATATACCCTTATTTGATAATAAAAAACAATACAATTATTAATAATATATTAGAATTTGGTAGAGATAAAATTGGAAACTATTATAAAAAATGTCTTGAAATATAAAACAACAAATATTTTGAAACATAGAAAATAACCTAAAACTACAAATAAGAGGTAATTGATGAAGAAAGATGTCTTTATATTGGTGATATATGTATCTGTGTATCTCAAAGACGTCTAAAAACTATTGACATAGTAATCTGAAATACTTGATTTTTCCTATTTATTACATTAGTTTTACTGGACGGAGATAAAACCAGCGTTCAAGGACATGGTTGACGCCGCCAAGCTTATCCGCCCCAAGAGAAATTGAATCTCTCTCTATTTGGATTACGAGAAAAACCTTTTCGTGTGTTTATTTGAGATTTGAGTAACGTTTTTTTGTTCCAAGAGATATTTAGATGTAGAAATCGTCTGCTTTGAACGACATATCCCTTTCTATTTTCATCTATACTTTTGTTTTTTTATGAGATATTATATGCATTTTTCTCTATTTTCTCAGTAACAGAATTATGTTTTCTGGTTTTTTGAAAAATGAATGGCTTCTTATACGAATCTGGTAGTGTGTTGTAGAAAATGAGTGTTTTGCATGTTCTTATTACAAATCCAATCCATTGGCAATAATAATTACAATTTAAATTCTAAAATCTACAAATTTGTTAATTATATTAATAAATATTATTGTTATATGAGTGAATGAATTGTTTTTTATAAGATTCCGCATAAATAGTTTATATTTTAATAAATTTATATAAAAATAGTCCTTAATTATATATGTGGTAAATAATTTTGTAGATAGTTGATAATCGTGTATTGTAATTTAAAATATTAGGTTTTTAGTTAACAAAAAATTTTAGGGTTTCAATTTGGTTTGTATTTTTTTTTATTAATTTGACATAAACTATTTATATGATTTTTCTCTATGACATAAAGCATTAGTATAGATGTTCCATTAAAGACACCACATGATGATATATTTCATACAATTTATATTCCTACTATTAATGTAAACAAAGTTTGAGATCATACTAAAAGCACCACTTGAATTTTATTAAATTTTTGTATATAAAGGTTTAAAAAAATCTTCAAAACCTCTGAGTTGCATCATGATATTAATATTAATCTTCCAAAACTATCAATTCAAATCTTAAACCACAAAATCTCCAACAATCTTCAAAAACTTTAACCTTCACCATATTGTCATCTTCATTTGTTTCAAACCATTACAACAAAGATGTAACAAATGTATAATATATCTAAAATAAGATTTTAGTCAAATAAACCAAGCTAATTTTTAATCATTTAAAATTAAAAGGTGAGGAGTGAATGTATGAGAGGTGAAAGTGAAATTGTAAAAAAAAATTACTTAAATATCTAGGGCAAAACGTAAAAGAATAAACTATATTCTAATAATCGTTCGGTTAACCGCGGTTATTCGGTTATTAATCGCACCGAACCTAAATGGTTATTGAACTTAATTCCAATGTTTATTTATATATTAATATGCCATTCAAAGTTTTAAATTTTTTCTCTAAAAATAACAATCTAAAATAGTGATATTTCTCTTTTATATATATATTTTTAAAAATGATCCATTAAATATACATTGCATATTATAAAATTATATGAACAGGAGAAAAATAATTCTCACTCATGGGTTTTCAGTTCAATCATATCAAAGATATAACCAAAACTCAATTTGCCGATTATTCTTCAGATGAATTTCAGATATTATAAATCAGTATATTATGCAATATATAAGATTACGTAGTGGATTAGGTAAGAGAATTAAAAGAGTTTGTCGGCTCTTATGGTTTGATAATCTAGATTAATCTTTCAAAATGTATGTATCTTATGTTTTGATATAAAATCATAGGGCTTCTTGGTATTATTGATTTTGACTCTATCCTTAATAATCCATTGGCTTTGTTGTTTTATTTATCTTTAATGGAAAAGAATCAGAATCCGATATTATTTATGAAAATCATCTTTTTAAGAATATATTTATTATTTTTGTATTTGAAAAGATATTAGACTATGATTTGGATCTATATTGTGTAACTTTTATTGACAGTGATGGTCTCATGTGTTAATACCATTTAACTTTCATCTTGAAATTTATAAGTGATGAACAGTTTGTTTGGCATATCAAATTAATTGTAGTTGCTTTTCATTCAAAGACTTGTCATCTCTATTTGTTTAATTATCTATCTATGTAAACACATGAGATTTTGATTTATAATTTGTTGGAAGTAAAACTTTGAGGTAAACAAAAATATTTTGAAAGATATATCATTTTGAACCTTTTGAAATATAAAGGAACAATGACAAATTCATTTTTCCTATATATATATAATATATGAATGCATCTTTATGGAAGTGTACCAAATTGTCATCTAACTATTGACCATTTCTATAAAAGAAAGCAATTATATCAAAAGATAATGAATAAAAAATAAAGACATTAAAAATTTGGAAGAATTATCTTGCATAAAGCATTAATTTACTTCTTTTCAAACAGTCTGATGATATTGTATTAGTTTATTTCTCTCAATGTTATTTTACAGTCTCACGATATTAAATTACATTATTTTCATCACATGTAGGTATCAAAAACATAATTTCAATTTTAACACAGACGAAATTTTTTTCAAAAGATTGTTCTATCAAAATGTGATGTTTTAATTTTAAATTATTTTGTAAAAAAACCTAAGTAATACAAAAGATAATTAAATCCACACTATCAATCTTTTTATTTAGTTCAAATAATTTAAAAAAATTAAAAACATAATGATAACTATATAACGAAATTAATATTATAAAAACTTATAATAAAATCAAAAATTAAACAAGAAATACAATAAAAGAAAAAAACGGAATCACTTTATTATTACATATTTTCTTCTTGATCTATGTTTTTTAAAATTAATTGAGATAGACGTTACATGACAATATTGTAATAGAGAAAAAGAACAGAATTGCTTTCTACATAGGATGATTTTATTTTTACTGTACAAATTCGTTCACTCTTCAATAATGCAAATCCAATTTTAAACAACGTTAGTTATTGAACATGTATAATTTCTATATTATTTAATAGTTTCATATATAAAACAATACAATTATTATATTAAATTAACTAATATTTTTTATATATCTTATCAATCAATACGTCATTATCTATCCATCTATATCGAACGATCGAATTTCTGGTTGAAGTAATCGAAAAATTATTATGGACTCTCTCCGAATAAATCAGTCATATTCAGGGGTATATATATATATACATATTTGCAATTGAAATTTATTCTCTATTTTGACAAACATGG